TCACTCTGCCTCGTTCCTGATGCTCCAGGGTTCCTGGTGGCGTCATTTCCTTTCTCTCTGGATATTTCCTTTCGCAATTAGAGAAAGTCTGCTAACCAAGAATTATCTTGGTAATGACAGTGTCTACTTCATCTTCATTCCTGAAGGATATTTTTTGCTCATATAAAATTCTGACTTGAAAGTTCAGGCTAGGGAGAAGTTGGAAAAAATTGTGAACTCAACATTGATTTGGTGGCACTTCATTGTAGCTTTTTTGTTTTTGACAGGCAGAGTGGACAGTGAGAGAGAGAGAGAGAGAGAGAAAGGTCTTCCTTTGCCGTTGGTTCACCCCCCAGTGGCTGCCGCGGCCGGCGTACTGCGCTGATCCGAAGTCTGGAGCCAGGTGCTTCTCCTGGTCTCCCATGGGGTGCAGGGCCCAAGCACTTGGGCCATCCTCCACTGCCTTCCCGGGCCACAGAAGAGAGCTGGCCTGGAAGAGGGGCAACCGGGACAGAATCCGGTGCCCCGACCGGGACTAGAACCCGGGGTGCCGGCGCCGCAGGCGGAGGATTAGCCTAGTGAGCCGCGGCGCCAGACGACTTGGTGGCACTTTGAGTATTTGTCTTCTTCACTGATCACTGCCACTCTTTTAGATTTCAGAGCCCTCCAGCTGTCCTGTGCCTCTGCGCAGCTTCGACAGCTGGGGTCAGTTGGAGAGACAGATCAGGTTTTTACTGCGTCTTGCCCAGAACTCAGTACTGTTCAGTGAGGGACAGTGGTAATGCGAGTGGCGAAAGTGAGATCCCCAGTGAACGTGTGCCACTAAGAGGCTCACTGTGCTGGAGGCCACAGCCAGGAACACTCCAATTCCCTGTTCTTTCCTTTGCCTCCTTGCACTAGGGCCGACGAGACCTGGCCTTTCTGCCACCTCCTGGCAAACCCACACAGAGAGGCCCTCGGCCATTCTCCATCTCTTCCCCTGATGTCACCCAGCATCAGTGAGGCTCAGCTACAGTTCTCCCCGACGGTGGTCTGCGACCCGACTCTGCTAATGGAAAGGCTCCAGGCTCAGATGTGGGGAGAGAATGGGAGTGCCCCACTCTGGCCCCATGTCCAAATGCATTCTCCAATCCAACTTTGGGGGCCAGTGTCGTGGCACAGTGGGCTAAGCCACTGCCTACAATGCTGGCATCCCATATGGGAGCTAGTTTGTTTCTTGGCTGTTCCACTTATGATCCAGCTCCCTGCTAGTGCATCTGGGAAAGCAGTGGAAGATGGCCTAAGCGCTTGGGCCCCTGCTGCCCACATGGGAGGCCAGGATGGGGTTCTACGCTTCTGGGTTTGGCCTGGGCCAGCCCTGGCCATTGCAACCATTTGGGGAGTAAAGCAGCAGATGGAAGATCTCTCCCCCATCTCCCAGTCTCTGTCTGTCTCTCTCTCTGTCTCTCTCTCTCTCTCTCTAACTCTGCCTTCAAATAATTAAATAAATCTTTTTTTTTTTTTTAAATCCAACTTTGTTGAGAAATTCCTGAACCCTGAGAGCTGTCTGGCTCCTACCTGATCCTCGATCATTAGATTCCTATGTTAGTCAGAACAAGAGATAGAAACTCTTCTCTAGCTGGTTTAAGCAAAACAGTTTATTGGTTCCCATAAATAAAAATGCCAATCTTGGGCTAAGCTAGAACCAGGAACTCAAATAGAACCTTTCCCTTCACCTCTCAGCTCTTTATTTTCTTCATAATAGCTTCAGCCTTAGCCAATGTGGTAACTCCAGGAGCTCAGGTTCCAATCATCCTGTATCCAGACTTCACAATAAACTAAGACCACCTCCTTTCCAAGTGGTCTTACATAAATTTTAGAATTGAAGCTCCTTTGTAAAAAAAAAAAAATGTTTATTTTCATCTACTTAAAAGACTAACCAGAGAGAGAGAGGGAGAAAGACACATCTTTTCCATTCTCTGGTTCACTCCCCAGGTGCCTGCAAACACACAGGGCTGGGCCCGGCTAAAGCCAGAAGCCAGGAACTCCATCCAGGTCACCTATGTGGGTGAAGGGGCCCAAGCACTTGAGTAGTCATCTACTGCTTCCCAGGATGCATTTGCAAGACGCTGGATCAGAAGCAGAGTAACCAGGGCTCAAACTGGCTATGGATATGAGCATCAAAAGCTGTAGCTTACCCTGCTCCCCCCACCACCACCCTGAAGCAAAGCTCACTGACTGACTGGGTGACATGCCCAGGTCCACGGCCTGAGGAGAGATCCGCTTACTCAAACCACACAGACTGAGAGTAGGGTAGCTTCCCATGGAAACCCAGGGCACTGAGACCAAAAAATAGAATGCTGGCACTGTGGCATAGTAGGCTCACCTCCCACCAGCGGTGCCGCCATCTCTTATGGGCGCTAGTCATGTGCCAGCTGCTCCTTTTCTGATCCAGCTCTCTGCTTATGGCCTGGGAAAGCAGTGGGAAAAGGCCCAAGTGCTTGGGCCCCTGCAAACACGTGGGAGACCCAGAAGAAGCTCCTGGCTCCTGATTTTGAATCATGCGGCCATTTAGGGAGTGAACCAGTGGATGGAAGACTTTTCTCTCTCTCCCTCCCTCGGTAACTCTGCCTTTCAAATAAAATGGAAATTTCTGTTTATAAGAAAAGAAAGGCAAAAACAGTAACTATTACTGCATCATCCAAGGAAAAGGAAACGTTACGCTACCTGTAGCTAGAAGTGACATTTATTATGCTCCTACTGTATGCCAGGCACTATGCTAAGCCCTTTACCTGTATTACTGCACTCAATACTGATGAGAGTAATAATCACATATGTAAAGTCACCCAACACCATTAGGCATCAGGCAGCTATACATTCAAATCACAATGAGATGGCATTCCACAAGGGCCGGAAATACGAAAACTGGACAAGGGTGTACAGCAACTGAAATTCTCACCCGTTTCTGGTAAGAATGTAAAAGGGGGAGATCTCTTTGGAAAAATAATGTAAGCTACACTTACCACGTGACTCAGCAATTTGAATCTTAGTATTTTCCCTAGAAGGCATGAAAACACATGTCCACACAAAGACTTATGCAAGAATGTCCAAAGCATCTTTACTTATAATAGCCGCAAACTGGAGACAAACCAAATCGCCACCAATAGAAAGGATAACCACACTGTGGCCTGCTCATACGGTGGGATACGACTCAACAACAGAAAGAAAGGAACTAACTGCTGATACAGGAGCATGGGTGGAGCTAGCAGATACTGTGCTGAAGCCAGACACCAGACAATGCTTATATACAGTTGCATTTATATGAACTTCAGGAACAGTAAAACTAATCTGTATGACTGAAACAGAAAATGACCGCTTCTTGGAGGGCAGCAGACTAGAAAACTGGAAGAGGCGCAAAAGACTTGTAGAGTGATAGGAATGTTCTAGACCTTTGGGCCGTGTAAATGAGGGCATCTCAAAAAACATTCATGGGAAATGAAATTAGAGGATTTGTTTGGTGCGAAGAATGTGAAATCTGTGCATATTCATACAGTTGTTAACATCGAATTGGGGCTGCCACTGTGGCCAGAGGGTTAAGCGGTCGCCCACTGTGCCTGCATCCCATATGAGCACCTGTTTTGAGTCACAGTGGCTCTGCTTCAGATCCAGCTCGCTGTTAATGCCCCTGGGAAAGCAGCCGAGGATGGCCCAGGTGCTTGAGCCCCTGCCCCCACATGGGAGACCCAGATGGAGTTCCAGGCTCCTGGCTTCACCTGGCATGTTGTGGTCATTTGGAGAGTGAACCAATGGATAGAAGATCTCTTTTCTCTTTCTCCAACTCTCTCTTTCTTTCTCTTTTTCTGTAACTCTGCCTTTCAAGTAAATAAATAGAATGAATCTTTAAAAACAAGTCATTGACTTGAACACCTAAGATCTGTGGATCTTGACAGTATTGGCACTCTCGGGCTGAACTCCAGAGCTGAGTGTCTTGAGGAAATTCAAGCATATCAAAGGCTGTTGACACACATTGTTCAATTGCTTCCCTACCGGTTTTACAGATGCATACTTCCACTAACATTTTATGAAAGTGCCACACACTTTATTACTTTTTAGGGCTTTATATTTTGCTAGCCCTTACCTAGCTTCCACGACCGTCCCCTCTCAGGACCCCTGACACATTCTTCACCCTGTATGTGTACACACGTGGCTGTATGGCCAACATCTCCTAGAGACGCCCGACAATCACAAGGGTGCACTGCGCATTCAGCAAGTCCACTGCTGGTTTCAAATATCCTTTGATTACACCAGTAGGTCTCCTTTTAAACCCATGCCCCACGTTTCAAATCCCAGCTTGCCAGCGCTTCTCTTACGATGCTCTTATCTGGAAACAACAGCTCTGAGAGTTCAGCCTTTAAATGTAAGCCCGGGCTGGTGCTGTGGCGTAGCGGGTAAAACCACCGCCTGCAGTGCCGGCATCCCATATGGACGCAGGTTCGAGTCCCGGCAGCTCCACTTCCGATCCAGCTCTCTGCTGTGGCCTGGTAAAGCAGTAGAAGATGGCCCAAGTCCTTGGGCCCCTGCACTCACGTGGGAGACCCAGAAGCACCTGGCTCCTGGCTCCAGATCAGTGCAGCTCCGGCTGTTGCGGCCATTTGGGGAGTGAACCAGCAGATGGAAGACCTCTCTCTCCCTCTCTGTCTCTCCCTCCCTCCCTCCCCCTCATCCCCCCTCTCTTTCTCTCTGCCTCTCTGTAACTCTGCGTTCAAATAAATAATTTTTGGAGTTTGAAATCGGTCACGTGGACCCTAATACAATATGATCAAGGTGGCATGGTACGAAGAGCCATCCAGTTACCCTGCAACTTTCCCTACTTCGGTTCACTATTGATCAAGTGAGAGGGGTTAATAGTCAAACTGGATCACTCAAGATAACACTACTGTTTGCTAATACTAACTCGATGGGGGTAACGTGATTTGCAGCACTGAGCTGAGTATAATCCTTACTCTTGCCCCAAACCAGCGAACTCCTTCCTGTCTCCGCAGGTTGACTCGCGGGCGGGCCGGGCAAGCAACCCGGCTGGGTCCTCGCTGGGGAGGCCCGGGGGCCGGGTCAGCCCAGGTCCGCGGCGCCCCCGCGCGTGGGGCGAAGGTCCGGGCCCGCCCTTGGCCTCGCGGCGGCCTGGGCTTAGTCAGCCGAGAAGAACCCAGTGACCGGGAGTGCGGGCGCGGTGGGGAGGCCACGTGTGCGCGCCCGCTCTGGGGTCTGCACCTGTGCCCTTGCTGCAGGTGTGCCGCGTGCAGCGCTCGTGCCTGGCGCCTTTCTGGGTGTGGGGGGCGTTTCAGGCGGGACCTTTCCCCCTCTGGAGTTGAATTCTAGCGGAGGGGAGGCCGTCAGCATACGAGGAGACCCCCCCAAGTTCACAGCAAGGGGAAAGTAAAAGCTAAGTTTATTTGGGTGCAAAAAAATTTGAAAGCCACGCATATGCGAGATCTTCAGACGTTCGTGCACCTTTTTCTTGCGCCTGCAGAAACTTAGCTTTGGATTATATTTTCCCATGAAATTTCGAGCATTTGTTTATGCTGCTGAGAGAACTCCCTTAGGCTGGTTTACTCCCCCAAATGTCCCCAGCGGTGGGGGCTGGGAACTCATTCCAGGTGTCCTGCGTGGGCGGCAGGGACCCACCAACTACCTGAGCCTTCACCAATGCCCGCCAGGGTGTGCATGAGCAGGCAGCCGGAATTGGCGCCCAGGCACCCAAACCTGCCCCTTCTGTGTATAATGTATGCATGCGTATGTAAGCTTTATATATGCAAATTTAAATTTATGTATATGTAATTGGTAACCGCTATAGGAAAAAGTTAAGGGGGTAAGAACTGGGAAGTGGGTGGGCCTCCCCTTGTGAATTTTAGGGTGAGCACAGTGGGTTTTGGTGAGAAGGGAGATCACCGCGGGGCATGAGATGAGGAATGTGAACCCCTGCCGTTTACCAGATAGCAAATGTTGACAAAAATACAAAGATCCCTCAAAAAAAATCGTGGAAAATAGAATTAAAAGGTGAACTTGTGTTGGTGGAAAAATTTGAAAGCCACGCCCACGTCATTTCAGGTCATCACCAAACTTGGCATACTATCCACTTCCGGTAGTCCGTCAGTGTGTGTTAACAGCCGCAGGTAACCAGTGACCAGGATTGGGTTTTTTTTGTTCCATAAATTCTCAGCAGAAATGCCCAGCCAGTGTTGGGGTGCCTCTGACGCTTCAGAATGCCACTGGTAGGGCAGCGGCTGGTCAGCGAAGCCCAGAGTGGAGGGGCTTCGTACAGGGAGGGTGGGGATGAGCAGTGAGCGGTGCTGGTGGCTGGAGCGCGCAGTGGTATAATTTTCGTATTTTACCTTTCGTGTGCTCTCCTGGATGGAAGCCACCCCGTGCCGATTTGTTTCCCTGTAATAAATCAAGGTTATGGGGCAGCTCTGGCCCTCATCGGCTTGCACACTTATCCGGAAGGTGGTCCCGTGTCAGATGTAAAAACCCAGTGCTGTGCCGAATTAAGCAGATAGGCCCCTTGATGGGTGTTTATGCCCGCATTTTCGGTCACTGGGGTGGGAGCATGAAGTCGTCTGGTTTGGCCCTGCCAAGGCAGCCCGCAGGCAGGACTCAAAATTCAATAAATCTACAGCAGGCTAACTTGCTTTTCAGATTGATTGATTGATTTGAAAGGCAAAGTGGGGGAGAGGGGCAAGATAGTGAGCTTCCATCCGCTGGTTCACTCCCCACATGGCTGCATTGGAGCTGGGCCTGTCTGAAGCCAGGAGCTTCTTGTGGGTCTTCCACCAGAGTGGCAGGGGCCCAAGCACTTGGGCCATCAGCAGGGAGCTAGATCAGAAGTGGAGCACCTGGGATTCGAATCAGTGCCTATATGGGATGCTGGCATCACAGGTGGCGGATTTACCTGCTACGCCACAGTGCCAGCCCCTGGCAAGCTAATATTTAAGCTGATAATTTTGTATGGCCCGTAAATGATGTTATAAATACCTAAATGGACCTTGGGGAAAAAAAAAAGCTCCTGTAGAGAGGTTGGTTGGCACCTGAGGTTCTCAGTGGGTCTACATAAAGCTTGCAGTGGGAGATGTGTGCTTGGTTTCCTTACATGTCCAAGGCTAACGCTGAGCCCCTCCCCCCCTTTTTTTTAAGATTTATTTATTCATTTGAAAAAGTTACAGAGAGGCATAGGCAGAGAGAGAGGTCTTCCGTCCACTGGTTCACTTCTCAAATGGCTGCATCGGCCAGAGCTGTGCTGATCAGGAGCCAGGAGCTTCTTCCAGGTCTTGCACGGGGGTGCAGGGGCCCGAGGACTTGGGCCATCTTCTACTGCTTTCCCAGGCCATAGCAGAGAGCTGGGTCAGAAGTAGAGCAGCTGGGACTTGAACTGGTGCGCATATTGGATGCTGGCACCGCGGTGGTGGCCTTACCTACTACGCCACAGCACCAGCCCCAACCCTCTTGGTAGGCTGAAGGTTCAGAGAAAGGACAATTCTGTACTGCACTTCAGCGTAGTCATTTTTCCTGTCCCAGTGGGAATTTGGAGTATCGCTGTGTCCTGGGGTGTTCTTTTTCCGAAAGCAAGAGTGCAGGCCTTGCCTCTGCAGGGTACCAAGCGGGAAGTGGCAGCCTTTTCCGCTCGTTAGAGGCCAGTGTGTCTTCAAAGTGACGTTGCTGTTCCTGGTTCCAGTCATTCCTCTGTGCTGTCCAGATCTGCACTAGCTCTAGCTTAAAAAGTAGCGGGGTGTTTGCTTTGTTATGGGAGTGCGGAGGTAGGGGTGCGGTGAGGAGGTTGTTTTCAATCACGTGGATGATTATTTTGTTAGAAACAAGGAATCTGGGAGTGGAATACCTTGTGCTAACACTCTAGGCTTGGGTGTTTCCGCGCTGTCTGGCCCAGGGGCCGTGCTGCAGAGCTCTGGGCTGGGTGAGGCTGGGTGAGGGCCTCCCGAGGAGAGCCTTCGTTCACCTGCCCGCCCTTTCTCAACCCAGGTCACACACTCTGCTCTGGGTCTTGGTCTCAGAGGGAAAAGGAGGGCCCGGATGTCAAGAGAGCTCCTGTGTGTGGAAGGGAAAGCCCTGCGGTGAAGAGACCAAGGGGCTGATGTCAAGTTTTCTCTGTAGACAGTCTCATAATCTACATTTTACAAGTCGTCATGTCCATTATCTGTGTGTGTCTACCAGGGTCCTCCTGGGCTGCCGTGTGCCAGGCTCTCTGCTAGATGCTGAAGATAAAAACTGAAGTAAGGCTGACGGTTCTCGGGCAGCTTGGACCAGTAAGTGATGCCAGGACAGAAGTAACACAGCCACAGCTAAGAACTGTGCAGAGCTGACTGTGCTGAGCTAAACACGAGCCGGGGAGCAGTAAAGGCAGCCCCCTTACCTGGGTGCAGGCAGCAGAGAGAACCATAAAGCATGCAGTGAAGAAGGACATAAAAGGGTAATTAAAATTGATTGGAAAAGGCGAACTAGCCAAGCCTGAAGCGCCCCAGGTGCAGGAAGAAACGGGCCGCAGTAGGTGGCGCTGTGGTGCCTGGCGAGACCTTCGCACTATAGGCCGGGGGTTCTTTGAATCCCAGAGCTGTGTTGACCATCATACTCAACACACGTATGTCAGTCTGCAGACGGCGTGTCTTTCACTTAACCCGGCTGTGACCACGACCGCGCCGGCTCTGCTCTCTCCAGATTGCCAGTAGTCGGGCAACAGGTGCTGTAGGCTGCAGGGAAGCGTCTCCGTGTGGGATCTCGGCTGTGTCACGTTTCTCTCTCTGCAGCGTTCAGGAGTGGAGGATTGAGTGAAGGAGTGGCTGACTGCCCGAACTGCCTTTCTGGTCCTGAGGAGTCCCGAGGAAGGCGGTGCTGGTCTTGGAGTTAGGGGCTTGGCTCTCCCTTGCAACTCCTCCGCTCCACCTGGCCTCAGCCCAGTGCCCGGCCGTGGCAGAATTAGGAAAGGAAGAACAAGCTTCTAGGAAGATTTTCATATAGCCAAACTTACTACATTAAATGAAAGTTCTTTATTTTAAAAAAATTATTCATTTGAAAGCCAGCGTTACAGTGAGAGAGCTTCCTCCATCTGCTGGTTTGCTCCCCAAATGGCCGCAACAGCCAGGGCTGGGCCAGGCCAGAGCCAGGAGCCTGGAACTGTATCTGGTGTCCCATGTGGGTGGCAGGGGTCCAAGCACTGCCCTCCCGGGCACATTAGCTGAGAACTGGATTGGAAGTGAGCAGCTGGGGCTCCTACTAGTGCTCCTATGGGATGCCAGTGTCAGAGACAGCAGCTTCATCTGCTGGGCCACAGCGCCAGCCCCAAAGGCTCTTTTAATTTAGATTGTCCGTCTTTTTTTTATCCTTTTTTAAATTTTGATTTAAGGTTAACAATTTTTTATTAGGATGAGGATATTTTATTTTTTTAAATGTTTATTTATTTGAAAGGAGTTACACAGAGAGAAGGCGAGGCGGGGGTGGTGAGGGGGGGTTCTTCCATCCACTGGTTCACTCCCCAGTTGGCCACAAAGACCAGAGCTGCACCGATCCGAAGCCAGGAGCTTCTTCCCAGTCTCCCACGTGGGTGCAGGGCCCAAGGACTTGGGCCATCATCTACTGCTTTCCCAGGCCACAGCAGAGAGCGGGATTGGAAGTGGAGCAGCCGGTACTTGAACCAGCGCCCATGTGGGATGCCAGTGATGCAGGTGGCGGCTTTACTCGCTATGCCACAACACTGGCCCCCCCCCTTTTTTTTTTCCTTTTTGACATCAAAGTGTCTTTTTTAGTCTGGTGGTAATAGTAAGCAGTTGGTACTTTAAAAATGCCTTTCTTGGAAAAATTAAAAATTGGCAACCCAAACGTTATTCAAATTTTTAAAAAGAAATTTTAGTACTTTGTGAAGTCCAAAAGCCAGGAAGCGATTATAGCTTTCGATACTGCTTCCCTCAAGTGAATACCTTGAAACAGGAAGTTCACAAAACGTGTTGGATTGGGACCTGAGTGCATCTGTCAGGATTGTTAGAATGTGTCTCACTAATGAGAGGCTTTGCAGAGATGTCACAGAAGACTACAGAAACATATCCTCTGTAAATAGAGATGCAAAACCCTCAACAGAACAGAGCAAGCCAAATCCAGCAACATATGAACGGTATTATCTACCGTGACAAAATGAGATTTATCCCAGAAAAGTCAGGTTTCATTTAATATCTAAAAATAAATTATGTAATGCAGCATATTCATAGAATAAAGGACAAAAGCCACATGAGAATTCAGCAGACATAGAAAAAGCATTTGTCAATTCAGCACCCTTTTATGATTAAAAAAAAGAAAAACAATCTCAGTAAACTAGGAACAGGAGGGGAGTTAATCTGATAAACAGCATCTTTGAAGAACCCATAGCAAATAACCTGTTTAATGGAGAAAGACTGGATGCCTTCCCCCTAATCAGGAACAAGACAAGGATACCTGCTTCTATTCTGTTGCGCAATAGGGTGGTTAAGCAAGAAAACGAAATAAAAGGCATCCAGACTGGAAAGAAGTGGAACTATTGCTATTCTCTGACGATTCTTAAAGCTCCAAACATTGTTGAAGATGTAAATAAAGGTGAACACAGCCCGTGTTCATTGACGTGGATGGTTTGTGTTGATGGACTTTCCAGAAGTCCAGCAGGAGCTGCAGCTTGCCCAGAATAACCAAACTCTGTCAAAGAACAAAGTTCAAAACCCACTTCCTAGTCTAGAACTTGTAATAACACCAGAAGTAATCAGTGTGGTAAGGGCATGAAGACAGACGTGGATTCGTGGACTAGAAGGAAGAGCCCTCGAACACGGGTGACGCTTCAGTGGAGAACATGGTGGTGACACAGCCGGACCCTCTGTCGCACACCACATGCAAAATTAACTCAAAATGAATCAAAGATGAAAATGTGGGTGTGAATCTTCCTGTTCTTGGATTAGCCAGTGGTGTCTTACATACGACACCAGAAGTACAGCAACAAAAGAAAAAGAAATTAGAAAGTTAGACTTAATCAGAATTAAACTTTCCTGCTTCACAGGATGCTATCAAGAAGTGAAAAGACCAGAGAATCAGAGAAAATATGTGCGGATCATAATCTGATAGGGAACTTGTTTGTAGAACGGATAAGGAACTCCTGTAGCTCAATAATAGACAAATCGCCCAATTAAAAATAGGCAAACGACCTGAAAAGATGTTTCTCCAAAGGAGACACACAGATGGCCAGTACTTGTAAGCACATCAAAAGACGCTCGACATCATTAGCCATCAGAGAAATGCAAATCAAAACCACAAGGAGGTACCACCCGGTGTCCACTAGGATGATTATAACTTTAAAGACAGGCGACGGGTGTTAGCAAGGATGTGGGGAAACCGAACCCTCACTCACTGCGAGTGGGAATTCATAAATAGAGGAGTGCTTGTCTGGGATGAGGACAAGGAGAGTGCAGAAGTGCCGGGGAGCCGGAAGGTGACGGCCAGATGGTGCAGTTTCTTTTCGGGGCGGTGAGAATGTCCCAAGCTGACGGTAGGTAAGTTGCATAACTCCAAGTAGACTGAAAACCATTGAATCGCACAGTTGAAATGAGGGACTGTTAGGACACGTGAGTGTAATTCCCCGACGCTCTTAGGGAAGCCAGGCCGCTGGGCTGTGTCGTGTTGGCGCGTGTTCTGAGTTGCCTTGCTCCCCTGAGTCTGTCGTGAACTCCCTCTCCTTGCCGTCCTAGAGCTGAGCCTGTCTGCTGGCTGCCTGCAGCTGGAGCTCAGGAGGAGCGACTTCACCTCTTCTGGAAACAGGAAGCTCTTCTTTGACACCCACGCCCTGGTGTGCCTGTTCCAAGACAATGGTAATCCTCTGGCCACTCAGTGCTTTAGAAAGACCCGGTAACGTTTGACTTTTCCTACCATGTCACTGAACTCTTCACATTTCTCCTTGACTTTTAACCCCAGAGATAACCTTTTGGTCTTTTTAAGTCCTCATTTTTTGTTTAAGGATAACTTTGCTAACTGTTTGACACATTTTATCTTTGTCCAAGTAAAGTGTATTTTTATAACACCCAGCATGGAAGTATAGTGTTACTGTATGCTTTTTAAAATTTTATGAAATTGAAATACTCAGTAGCAATTATTGTTAATTTCAATTTAATATATATAGGTGGTTTTTAATTTTTTATTTGACAGAGTTAAAAAGATTTGTTTTATTTATTTGAAAGGCAGTTACATCAGGCCTGGTGCTGTGGTGCAGGCTAAGCTGCTACCTGCAACACTGTATCCCGTATGGGCACCGGTTCAAGTCCCAGCTGCTCTGCTTCTGATCCAGCTCCCCTGCTAATGCACCTGGGAAAGCAGCAGAGGATGGCCCAAGTGCGTGGGCCCCTGCACCAGTATGGGAGATCCAGATGAAGCTCCTGGCTCCTGGCTTTGGCCTGGCTCAGCCCCTGCCATTGTAGCCATTTGAGGAGTGAACCCACAGGTGGAAGCTCTCTCGCTGTCTCTTTCTGCCTCTCCTCTCTCTGTAACTCTGCCTTTCAAATAAATTTTTAAAAAAGAAAGGTGGCCGGCGCCGCAGCTTACTAGGCTAATCCTCCGCCTTGTGGCGCTGGCACACTGGGTTCTAGTCCCGGTTGCCCCTCTTCCAGGCCAGCTCTCTGCTGTGGCCAGGGAGGGCAGTGGAGGATGGCCCAAGTGCTTGGGCCCTGCACCCCATGGGAGACCAGGAGAAGCACCTGGCTCCTGCCTTCGGATCAGCGCGGTGCGCCGGCCGCGGCGGCCATTGGAGGGTGAACCAACGGCAAAGGAAGACCTTTTTCTCTGTCTCTCTCTCTCACTGTCCACTCGCCTGTCAAAAAAAAAAAAAAAAAGAAAGAAAAGAAAGGTATAGAGAGAGAATCTTTCATCTGCTGGTTCACTCCCTAGCACTGCTTAACCTGCTATACCACAACACTGGCCTCAGTTTGGTTTTTTTTGAGAGAGCGACAGGCAGACAGAGCTCCTTTCTGCTGCTTCGGTATCCGAATGCCTCCAGCAGTGAACGCTGGGAGCTGGGAACTCAGTCCAGGTCTCTCGCAGGGTGGCAGGACCCTCCTGCTGGCTGTCCCTGCTGCCTCCCGGGATCTGCATCTGCAGGAGCCAGAGCCAGGGATCCAACCCAGGCCCTTTGCTGTAGGATGCAGGAATCCTGTCTAAGACACCCACCCTGTACTGTGTTCTTTTCATGGTAGTTTTCAGGCTAACAGTTTTACTCATTGCTGAGCTACCATGTGAAAGATTGCCTGGCATAGGTGGCATTCGTCAGAATTGCACTCAGAACGTAGATGACAGTCTCAGAGTTAGTCAGGTTCAAACAGATGACACCAGCCTGCTTCTCTGCTGTGACGTTTTCAGATGTGTGTCTGTTCTTCTGCACGGTGTGGTTTCTTAACCAGTCGTGCACGTTCATCTCAGGAAGGTGCCTCACAGGCCTCAGACAAGGTGACAGCATGACTTACCCCCCGCTTGCGTCGGGGAGTCAGAAGCTCCGAGTTCAGGCTCACCATACTCACTTCTAGTTGTGCCAGCCTGGGAAGCCCTCTCCCCTGCCAGCCTCCGCTTGCTCCTCTGTGGCATAGCTGTGATGAGAATCCCAAAGACAGGAAGTGAAACAGTGTACTTGAGCGCAAGACAGGAAGTGAAACAGTGTACTTGAGCGCGCTCTGGGAAAACCTCTAATGTTCTATGGGAATCTCCCCACTTGAGAGAGTGAAGTGGAAGTGAGAGGGGGCGTGGGTAGTTATCCTGATAACCAGACATCTTCCTGCTTTTCTGGGTTTCAGATCTTTTCCTTTTTTTCTATAGGATTTATTGATTTATTTGGATGGCAGAGTTACAGAGAGAGGGGGGAAAAGAGAGAGCCAGCTTTCATCTGCTGGTTCACTCCCCAGATGGCCTCAACGGCCAGGGCTGGGTCAGGCCAAAGCCAAGGGACTGGAATTACATTTGGGTCTCCCGTGTGGGCGGCAGGTGATTCAAACTGGTGCTCCAGCATTGCAGGCAGCAGCTGAACCTGCGGTGACACCGGGCAGCCCCTAGATTCCAAATCTTGGCTTGCAGATATTTGTCATTCAGTACCAGCAACATGAAGACCCCACCTCATGCGTGGTGGGGAGGGGCTTACCCAGCCGGACATGGATGAATCATGGGTGTCTGAGGTCACGGGCTTAGGATGAGGCCACAAGGGACCTCCATAGAATATTCTTCCCTTTTTTGATTTTATTTATTTATTTGAAAGTCAGAGTTACAGAGAGAGAGAAGGAGAGGCAGAGAGAGAGAGAGGTCTTCCATCCACTGGTTCACTCCCCAGATGGCCGCAACGGCTGGAGTTGCGCCGATCCGAAGCCAGGAGCAAGGAGCTTCTTCCATGTCTCCCACTTGGGTGCAAGGGCCCAAGGACTTGGGCCTTCTTCTACTGCTTCCCCAGGCCATAGCAGAGAGCTGGATTGAAAGTGGGGCAGCCGGGTCTCGAACTGGTGCCCATGTGGGATGCGGATGCTTCAGGCTAGGGTGTTAACCCACTGCACCAGAGTGCCGGCCCCTTCCCTTTCTTTATCCAGAGCTGTGTCACCTGTTAAGCAAAACTTCTGTGTGTCAGTGATCTCACTCTTGGTGTTGTGTTCTCTCATTCCTACAAGAAGTTACTTTGTATCTTTGTAACTAGCAGGCTCTCAGGCTCAGCCTCTTTTAATTCCTTCCTCCTCCCTGTGTGGCTTTGGGGTTTGTTTTGCATCAGCATAAGATTCTTTCTATTTCTGTTCTTTTCCTTTCTGAACCTAATTATGTTTAACTATGAACTTTTCATAGCGATTTTCTAGAATCTGCAAAAGATGCTCATTTTTTTTAAATTAGGAAAAACAGAAAAGAACAACAAAACCCTCAGAGCCCTAGTACCCCAGAAGTAAACAATGTTGATATATTGGAGGGTGGCCTTTTGGATGGTTTTCTAGATGTGTGTAATGCACTCATTGAAAACCTAATGAATTTTATGGGCTACGTTGTGGTATAGCAGGTTAAGCCACTGCCTGTGAAACTGGCATCCCATGAGTGCTGGTTCAATCCTGGCTGCTCCACTTCCGATCCAGCTCCCTGATAATGCGCCTGGGAAAGCAGCAGAGGACCCAGGTCATCAGCCACCCATGTGAAAGACTGAGATGTGGCTGCTGGCTCCTGGCTTCAGCCTGGCCCAGCTCCGCCCATTGCAGCCATTTGTAAAGTGAACCAGTGGATGGAAGATATCTCCCTGTGTCTCCCTCACTCTCACTGTAACTCTACCTTCCAAATACATAAATAAATATTTTTCTTAAATTAGTGAATTTTATTCATTTATTTATTTTTTTGACAGGCAGAGTTAGACAGTGGGAGAGAGAGACAGAGAGGTCTTCCTTCCGTTGGTTCACCCCCAAATGACCACCATGGCCGGCATGCTGTGCCAATCCGAAACCAGGAACCAGGCACTTCCTCCTGGTCTCCCGTGCAAGTGCAGGGCCCAAGCACTTGGGCCATCCTCCACTGCCCTCCTGGGCCACAGCAGAGAGCTGGACTGGAAGAGGAGCAACCAGGACAGAACCAACACCCCAACTGGGACTAGAACCCGGAGTACCGGCGCCGCAGGTAGAGGATTAGCCTAGTGAGCCGTGGCGCCGGCCTAAAAATTAGTGGATTTTGAATAAAATGAGAGTAGGTCTTTGGGGGGCTATTTCTCTTTTGTTAAATCTGTGTCTTTGTTTCTTGTTTTAATTCTATGTTCAGTCTCCTCCAGATTACAAGCTGTGTTAATATGAATTCTAGAATGGGCTGGTGCAGCAGCGTAGCACGTAAAGCCGCCACCTGCAGTGCTGGCATCCCTTAGGGAACCAGTTTGAGATCCGGCTGCTCCACTTCCGATCCAGTTTTCTGCTATGCCCTGGAAAACATAGAAGGTGGCCCAAGTCCTTGAGATTCCCATGGGAGACCCAAAAGAAGCTCCTGGCACCTGTCTTCAGATTGGCCCAACTCTGGCTGGGAGGCCAGTTGGGGAGTGAACCAGCAGATGGAAGACCTTTCTCTCTGTCTCTCCCTCTTTCTGTCTGTAACTCTACCTCTCAAATAAATGTCTTTTAAAGAAAAAAGAATTTTCCTTTAAAAAATAACTCTACAAGAATCAATAGAACCGTCTAAAGTTCTTTTTTGTTTCTTTTTTAAGATTGATTTATTTGAAAGAGTAACAGAAAGGAAAGACGGAGAGACGGTCCATCTGCTATTTCGTTCCCCAAGTGACTGGGGCAGGGCCAGGCCTAAGTCAGGAGGCAGGAACTCAGATGTGGGACCGCAGCATCGCAGGCAGCAGCGTAACCTACTGTGCTGTGACACCGGCCTGCGTAAGCTCTTACAGCTGGTAGCATGTAGGGAAAGTCTGTGTCCCAGGAGCTAATGGGAAATATGAGTTACTAACCAAGCTGATAAAAAACGATAGTGTTGAGATGAACTTTGCAGTGATTTCAGTATCGTTTATTAAAGAGAGTTACAGAGAGGGAGAGACAGACAGCTCTTCCATCTGCTGCTTCACCCCCTAAATGGCCACAGTGGCTGGAGCTGGGCCAGTCCAAAGCCAGAAGCCTGGAGCTGCTTCCAGGTCTCCCATGTGTGTGGCAGGGCCGCACTGCTTTTCCCCTCTTCTGAGTCGCACGAGTTTGCTGTGGGTTGGTCCGCTTGTTTTCTGACGGCTGCAGTTCTGATTACGGTGGTTTTGTTTGCTGCTGGCTTAGGGTTTACGACTCAACAAGCAGAAGTCATCATGTCGGCGTTGGTCAAGATCGTGGAGGCCAACATGGACATTGTGTACAAAGACATGGTCACGAAGGTGCAGCAGGTCAGCGCCGAGGGCCCGGGGTGCATGCCGGGAATCCCAAGTGGGGTGCTGGTGGTGCAGTGGAATTTGGGGGGTAATATTCATTTGAAGAAGTATGTGGTCATGTAGCCTCACTGGGAAATAAAAGATTAAGGCGGCATAAAACAATTCATGTTCCTGTTGAGACAGCTCTCAGAGCGTCCCGTGCTTGCAGCGTGCTCGCTGTGCGCGCACTCGAGCCTCCTGGAGTAAGGGAGCTGTGGCCGGAAGGACAGGCTGCAGCTTCCCGTCGGAGTCCTCTGCCCACCCTCTTAGCCGCCGGTCACTCGGGAGTGATGCCAGACGTGCCGCTCTCTGCTGTGCTTTTCCTCCTCTCGTCTCTCACCTGTGTTCTGGCTTTCTCATTACGGCGTTAGGAGGCGATTTCCTTGGCTAGACTGGCTGACGTGTTTTCTTGTCTCTTGCTAGGAGATCACCCTGCAGCAAGTCATGTCTAATATCGCCGCTGTGAAAAAGGATATGATCATTTTGGAGAAGAGTGAGTTTTCAGCCCTGAGAGCAGAAAATGAGGTAAGATGACAGAGCCACCCCCACTTCCCCAGATCTGTTACCTAAAGGTACCGGGGTGTAGCGCACACGCAAAAGGGCACAAGGAGGCGTACGTCACCAGGACTTTGAGAGTGCACGCGGCCAGACGAGAGGTGGCCACGCATCATCATTCCCCAGAGTCCTGCTCACTCACGGCCCCTCCGGCCGCTCCTGCAGCTGGGGAGGAGCTGACCTGGGCAACATCCCTCGGCTGGTCTTGCCTGTGTCGGAACTTGGTTTGATGGGACTGTACAGGGGTCCTTGCCGTCGTCCGTGGTGTTAACTGAGTGTGCCGCATCATCCTGCTGGGAAGGGCGTTACAGTTGTTTCTGGTTTGGGGTTACTAGGAGCAAGTGCTGCCGCAGAACTGCCCTTCGACGTCTTTCGCATGCGGCACGTGGGGTCAGCGTTTAGATCAGTGCCGTCCCTGCGCCTGCCTTGTCTTTTCAGTCTGACTTGTTAGCCCGTACTGGAAGGCCGTTGATTACCTGTTGACCTTAGCCTTGAAAGAAACCTAGCGAAAAGGTGAAGTTTGAACCTCTCAAAGTTGGCCTTCAGATCACCCGAATAAGGGCAGAATGAATTAAAAGGAGCATTGAAGGAGGCTTACCAGGGTCCCTCAGGCCCATGTGTGTAGTCACAGCCGTCGTGTCACTGGTGTTGTGTAGTTTTAGCGTGAGAACGGGTTGCAGGATGCGTGCGCGCATCGTCGCGCCACTGTTGAGTTACTGTTGTGCTCTGAATGTGGCTGTTTGCGGTGAGGGGGAGGACTGGGGCATAAGGCCAGCTTCCCTCCTTCTCCACAGCACGTTGTGGTGGTCCCCACGGTTGACGTTTCTCTTCTGACTGTTCTGAGCATATCCTTGACTTGTTTCTTTTCTGTGTGTTTTTAGAAAATAAAACTTGAACTGCATCAGTTAAAACAGCAAGTAGTGGTAAGAGTTTCTCTCCTGTTTGTCAGCTTGTTTGTAATTTTATACATTTACTATTAAATAGAATGTGAAAAATGCATTGTGTCTTTTAAAAATTTAATTCTTCCTGAAATGTGTGTGTAATATGCCTCCAAAGTACAGATTGGGAGATTTACCTAAGAACATGGCCAGGGAATAAATTATTACTGTCTGTAACCAAATTCATTAAGAAAATTGTGTTCTGGGTGGTTTGAAGTCAAAATTTTTCTACAGTAGTCACATGGAACCTTTACATTCTGTTGAAAGAAACTTTATAGAATTTCACGTGGTTCTTGAATGCTTACTGTACTAGTTGTTTGTGTTTCTTTTTTAATTAGGATGTAGATGTTAGAAAAGAGTTTGATGAGTGTCAGAGATAAGGCTCTCTTTAAACCAGGGATTCTGCTGCTGTGAATCCATCTTTGCCTTGCAGAGTTGTCTAAGGAACTGGGTTTATTCATAAATGTCAGAACGGAGATGATATCAGGGTGGGTGCTGAGTTTAAACGCAACAATAACCACCCTAGACCGGCTAAAGCATCGGAAGGGATTACTTGGGATTACTTGTGTAGACCGGGGGAGCCCTAAGACAGGACCGACTCCAGAAGGGCCTTACCCTGAGCCCCCAGGTCCCAACCACCGGGTCCCAGCTCCGGCCCTGGAAGCCTCCGGCTGAGCCCTGGCCTCCGCTTCTCCCCTGGGACGGTTGGCAGGTGCAGCTGTCTGAGGCCTCACGTGTCCCAGAAGGTTTGGATTTCTCACTTTGTCTCTGTCTCTGTTGTTTACCCTCCTACTAGGATGAAGTGCTCAAAGTCCGGACAGATACCAAATTAGACTTCAATCTAGAAAAGAGCAGAGTGAAAGAGCTGGTATGTTCCTTCGTTAACAACAGACGATGATAATTAGTTTCTTTTCAGAATGGGACGCTCACTGAGGTCTAAGTTTATATACAAGTCACAGTACTGTTCAGTATTTATCCTTTCATCAATGTTAGACATAATGTTAGAATTTTACTTATATTTTGAATTACGGTTTAAATTTGATTCCGTCAAAGTAACATTAAAATTAAAATCTTGATCCAATTGAGTGGATCTTTTTTGTTTCAGACACTGGATCACATAGACATTAATAAAGAAGTTAAACACAGTCTTGATCTATTTAATACTGACTTAAAGCTCCACTCGGCCTTAATTTTACCTGTGAATAAAAAAGGGAAATTAGATTAATTATCTCAGACATGAATAATAGCATTATTAAAAGTCAAATTCTACATTGAAATTCAAGTTTTAAAATATTTGTGTGTGACCCTTTCAATGCAGTGAAAAGTCGTATGTTTCAATCAAGGTACATGTGGGGTTAAAACTGTGGTTTGTAGCCGTCCTGGTGATCGTGGCCTTGCCACCTTCAGGTTGGTTGGTGGCATTGGTTACATGACGCCTGTCTGAGTCTCAGCATGAGGGGGGCTAGGGCACGTGGAGCAGCTCGCTGCAGCTCAGAACCAGGGGCACCTGTCCTGCATCCCCTCCTTTTCCATAACTTGCTTCCCATCAAAATGTGCCACAGTGGTAAAGGAAGCTAATGTTGAAACTCAGACAGGTACTTGGCATTTCAAGAGTTAAGCCCAGGGCGGTGTGTGTGGTGCAGCTGGTGTATCTACCTTGCGTTAATGGAGGTGAGTTCCTGGGCCTGCTCATTATCTTAGTAAAGTTATCATCTTAAATTAAATTAGAAATTAGCTATGGTGATCTCTACACCAGTTTCAAAAGCAATGTGGCATATAAACATGGAGTACAAGGGGCTAGAGCACACAGGTGTTAACTTTAAAAATCATGGCAGGGGCTGGCATTGTGTATAGTGGGTAAAGCCACCCTCTGTGATACCAGCATCCTGTATGGGCGCTGGTTCATGTCCCAGCTGCTCCACTTCTGAAACAGCCTCCTACTAATGGGAAAAGCAGCAGGGGATGGCCCAAGCGTTTGGGTCCCTGCCACCCACGTGGGGGACCCAGATGAAGCTCCTGGTTCTGGCCAGCGCCATTGTGGCCATCTGGGGAGTAAACCAACAGATGGAAGATCTCTCTCTCTCTCTCTCTCTCTCTCTCTCTGTAACTCTGACTTTCAAAATAAACAAATCTTTAAAGATAATCATGGCAATGACAAGAGATCTCTTGTCTCTAGCCAGTCAGTGTTGAGTGAGTGGAGGTTACAGCTGAGAGGTGTACAGGAGATCCAGTCCACCCTGCCCTCTGGTGGTGATCTGGTGGATGGCACACACCGGGTCTTACACCCTCATTGATACAGCATCGCTGTGGTCTCGGGATCTTCAGTTTGGGTGCTTTGACCTGGGTGGGTTTTTTTTTTTTTCCTCCTATATTTCATAGTTAGAAAGTTTGTACATACTTCTGAACATTAACTTTTTCCCCTTATAAAATGTTCATTTAGGGCTTAAAATTCTTCATTGAAATTACAGCTTGTCATATGCTCGGTGAAATCCCAGCACGCACCACTAAGGAGATAATGTCTGATTTTGATCTTGGTGTCAGCAAAACGGCACTAAATCTTTTCGCAGACGTTAGTAGCCAAAGGCAAGGTGCCGTTTTAATTTTGAGTCGAACCAGTCACTCCTGTTAGTAACCGGGTTGTGACTGCACTGAGTCTTTGCTCCTTGTATCTTCAGACCCAGCATGTAGGAGTAGACGTTTAGCCTAGCTGCTAGGTTGTCCCTGCCCCACGTTGGAGCATCTGAGTTCAACTGCGGTCTCCAGCTTCCTGCTAATGCAGACGCCAGGAGGCAGTAGTGACGGCTCGAGTGATTGGGTGTCTGCCAACCCCGTGGAGCGCCTGGATGCCGTCCACAGCTCCGGGCTCTGGGCTGGCCCAGCACCAGTCTTTTCAGGCATTTGGGGAGTGAATCGGGAGGTAGATGCTTGCACACTGTCTGTGTCTGCGTCTCAAATGAACACGTTTTTTAAAATGAAAAAGAACAATTGACTGTATTGTACCTTAAAATAGTGGTAGCTTAGTGTATTTATATTTATATATTGTTTCATGATCACAGTGTCTTTGCCACAGATTATTCCTTGTAGCTATTTTTTCTCCAGCCTCATATCTTTCCTGTAACTGAAGCGGTAACGTATTTTGCTTGTAGCCAAGATGGGTAGCTGCCCACTTGAATTCGTTGTCCACCATTTTCAACCCTCCCAGCCCTGAGAAGTGTCCACATTGGTGCCAGGGAATGCTGCTCTCATAGTGAGAGAGGCCTAGAACAAAGAGATAAAAAGAGAGAGAGAAACAGAGAGGGAAAAGATGACAAAAGAGAATGCGGATGTTGGAGCAGTGTGTGAGTACAAGAATCACAGCAGATACGAGGAACGAGGCAGGCGGGCCACTGCATCCCAGAGCTGATTTCTGGTGTTACGTATTCTCGGAAATACTGAGAATATTTATTATTTTTTTAAAAATCAATTAGTTTGGAAGGCAGAGTGACGGAGATCTTGGACCTGCTGGTTTACTCCCCAGAGGACCTCGATAACTGGGGCTAGGCCAGGCTGAAGCCAGGAACTCCATCCAGGTCCCCTGTGGGTGGCAGGGGCCCAAGTATGTGGTCCACCAGCCGGTGCTTTCCCAGGCACATTATAGGAAGCCAGACCAGAAGCAGAGAAGCCGGACTCAAACCAAGCACTGTAATAGGAGATGCCAGCATCACACGCAGTGGCTTACCCACTGTACCACAGTGCCAGCCATGGACTGAGATCCCAGAGCTGCCAGCACAGGAGAAGGCATCAGACAAGGAGGAGAGGGACCTGACTGCTGTCACGTGTTTGTTTTAGTACGCGCTGAACGAAAGGAAGCTGCTGCAGTTGAAGACAGAAGTGGTGGAACTGGTAAGAAATGAGACCTTTGACTTTGGTCTTTCCGTTCATCTTTGCTTCTCTTACACATGGAAGATACAGGTTTGGAGTTATGGGATTTTTAAAAATAGTGGTAACATGTGTGTAACATAAACATTACCATCTTAGCCATTTTTAGATGTCCCGCTCAGTGGCATTAAGTACATTGGCACTTGTGTGCACTTTGTCTGTCATGGAATTCTTCCTGTTTTCTGGAGTGGAAGCTCTGTATCCGTGCCCTCCTCCCTGCCCCTGGCAACCCTCATCCTACTTTGTGTATGGATCTGATACCTCACGTACAGGGAATCATACAGGGGTTGCCTTTTGTGGCTGGATTACTGCTCTGAGCATAGGGCCCCACGTTGTTGCCAGTGCCAGCACTTCTTCCTTTTGGGGGCTGCTCAGTATTGCACTGTGCGTACAGTCGCCACATTTTGCCCGTCCATCTGGTAGGGGGCACTGGGGTTGCTTCCCACTGTGGGCTGTTGCGAGTACCGCCGCAGGGAACACAGGTGTGCCAGTCTCTGCTGGAGGACCTGCTTGTGGTCTTCTGGGTGTCCATCCCGAAGCTGGGTGTCATAGGCTTTCTTTGCATTTAATGAAATATTCAGTTGTCTTATTGAAAGGTGAGGTGTTGATGACTAGCGGTTAGAAGGGGTGGGGAGGTCTTGCTGTGTGTTTAACCTGTAGCGTACTACATTACCCGGGCCCCCTGAAACATCGAAGGTGCTACCATGAGGGAATTCTGGGATACTGGACCTTTCTCTGCACTTTCCCACTCCTCAGACATTGATTTCCTGAATTGCTAGCCACGGGCTGTATTTGGTTGCTCTGGGATTTTTAGAGAAGCCCTCTTGGTGTTTTCATGCATTAATGTAGTTGCACAACCCCTTTAGGTTACCGGGCAAACCCACTGCCCTCTGGGGGTTAGTTATATCTATTTAATTGTGTGGGGAAGGACACAAATTGGCTTTTGAAAGCCAAGCACCGTATGGATGAAACACCTGACATTCGCTTCATGAAAGCGGAGAGCTTACCGGACCATGACTCGGGACCGTGTCGGGATGAGCATGTCGGGCTTCTAGGTCACATGAGGCTCCATTCATTTCCTGAAAGAGCTGTCGGGGCCATGGTGCGCCTCTCACCGAGGGGGATTTGCTTTGCCACCGAGCACACACGGGCTAGCTTCCTGGTGCCACGTGGTTTGTACAGCTGTGTGTAGTCCACGAGAGCGGGCATGTGCCAGTGACCACATCTGATCAGCCTGGGTGGAGGCAAGGCCAACCCTACTGTTTCCCCTTTTGTCAGACGAGGAGACTGGGGCCTGGAGAGGTTGGGGCCAGAGCACCACACGGTGGCCAGAGGGTGGCAGAACTGAGACTGATGTCCAGACTCGAGGCCGGGCGCAGGCCCCCGTGCGCCTGCAGCCTGCTGGGCAGGAGCTCCGGGACTGAGCGCAGCGGGGACAGCCCTGACGCCTCTGACACTCTGAACCTCTTTGTTCCAAAAGCACGCCCAGCAAGATCGGGCCCTCACCCAGACCGACAGGAAGGTAGAGACCGAGGTCGCGGGCCTCAAAACCATGCTGGAGGCGCACAAGCTTGACACCGTTAAATATTTGGCAGGTGAGCCGCTTCACGTCTTAGTGCCCGAAACAACCTGGAAGGAGTCAGGTTCATAAAACACCTCCCTGACAGACCGCACGTCCGTGTTTCTAACGCTTTCTTTCTTTTATATATATATAAAGATTTACTTACTTATTTGAAAGTCAGATTTAAAGAGAGAAAGAGAGGCAGAGAGAGAGAGCCGCTGGTTCACTCCCCAGTTGGCCACAATGGCCGGAGCTGTGCTGACCTGAAGCCAGGAGCCTCCTCCTGGTCTCCCTCACGGGTGCAGGGCCCCAAGCACTAGGGCTGCTTCTACTGCTTTCCCAGGCTATAGCAGAGAGCTGGATGGGAAGTGGAGCAGCCGGGACTAGAACCGGCACCCATAGAGGATGCTGGCACTGCAGGCGGCAGCTTTACCCGCTTCGCCACAGCGCCGGCCCCATTTCTAACACTTTTGTATGTTCACTTCAGAAACTGGAATTCATCTTAGAGTTTCCAGTACATGGAGGATACTTAGTGCAGTTGGCCTTTTTTCTTTCCTTGTAGTGAATAAACTAAAGACATATTTACAGTTGATGAAACCTTTAATTTGGCCAGGTAGCTGGTCGATGCCTGTCTGGGGCTCGAGTGAATCAAGACATGGAACGCTGTGTGATTCAGATGGAAGGCGTGGGAGTCGGTCTTCAGTGGATGACACTTTTAAAGCAGTGTTTTGCTTTTTCGCAATTTTTGAGCCAAAACACACAGTGAAGATTCATGTATGAAAAGAAAAAAAAATAGGCCAGCGCCATGGCGCACTAGGCTAATCTGCCTGTGGCACCGGTACCCTGGGTTCTAGTCCCGGTTGGGGCGCCAGATTCTGTCCCGGTTGCTCCTCTTCCAGTCCAGCTCTCTGCTGTGGCCTGGGAAGGCAGTGGAGGATGGCCCAGGTACTTGGGCCCTGTACCCGCATGGGAGACCAGGAGGAAGCACCTGGCTCCTGGCTTCGGATTGGCACAGGGCACCAGCCGTAGCGGTTATTTGGGGGATGAACCAACGGAAAAGGAAGACCTTTGTCTCTCTTTCTCTCACTAACTCTGCCTGTCAAAAAAAAAAAGAAAAAAAAGAACCACTGTTTCAAGTCACTTTGGATTAATCAAATATTTTAAGTTAAGAAAGTGCTTAGGTAGCAGTAGCTGCTAATAGAGGTGCCTTTAGCAGTGGCGTTTTTGCGTCCTGTGGCAGCGCATCTCCCTGTGTAGTCCGTGTGTGTATACTTTGTGACACAGGCGCTCTGTGAGTCTAAGCTTCTAGTGAAAGGTTTTCTTGAAGTTTGCATGCATTTGTGCTTTGAAGGTGATGATTTCAAGGTATGAGTTTGTTGTTCTTTTTAAATAAGACATTCCATGACATAGGATACATCAGTGAGCAGACGAGGTTTCTAGGTTTCCTTTTGTTTTCTTGATGGAGAGAGGTGAATGTGTGATTTTTTTTTTATAATAAAAAGATGTGCCCTCGAAGTAACCGTTGGTAAAACTAATAGTGCGCTTAACTGTTTTTCTCTTGCAGGGTCTGTATTTACGTGCCTAACAGTAGCTCTGGGATTTTATCGCCTTTGGATGTAATAAACTGCCTATTTAAAGAGATTTCTAGGGTTTTGCCTTAAGAATACCAGTGCATTGCCTCTTTTTTTTTTTCTTCTGTTTCAAATTTTAAAACTGATTTCGGCTTCATGCATATCTTTATGCAAGTGATGGTCGGGGAACCAAGGTGTGGATGTCAGGAACTGGGCAGTCATTCCTTGCATCTCTCCTGTCCGTGACTCCATCACTGGGTGGTGTGGACACCGCATTGACAACGCCACTCAGCGAGCCGTGGACTGGGTCTCACCCGTGGTGCCCACCGACACCAAATGTTTCTACAAGTCTCTACTACTTTGAAACAGAGAAGATTTGGTCATCTCCACTTAAAGGGCATACTGACTTCAATAAGTACCGAAGAATTACCAAACTAAACCAGGAGCACCAAGTCCTCCTCACCTACCCACCCTCACACTGCTGACCCGGTACCAGAGTACTGCTTACTTCAGCTGCAGTCTACAGCGAACAGCGGTTTTGGCTTTGGGGTTGGGTGGGTGGTTGGTTTGGTGTTTTTATTTCCATTGTCCTAGTAAGCTCTGTTACGGTTATTTTGATGTGCCGTCCTGCTAGAAAATCTTGTTGCCTGATGACGCTCTGGTTGCAATGGGGACTCTGTCTGACCTCCTAGAACGTGGCATTCCCCTCCGCCCTCCCATGGCTGGGTTGCCTGCCTGCTCAGCACGGTGCTCCGTGAGGTCTGGCTTGCTGGACAGCCTGCCTCGTCCCGGCGTCACCCGCTCTCTGACAAGGGAGCAGGCACTCGGCCGCACCTGGGGCTCTGACGCACACGCCTCTGCCTGCAACCAGCTGCCGTGGGCTCTGCGAACCAGACCCGGGGGCTGTCACGGCCGTCACCGCCCCAATGGCGGCGGGTTTTCTCGTCCCTACCCTAACTACCTCTGTGTTAAGACACGTCGTCCTCCGTCCCGCTGGGGTGGCCGTGGAGACGCGCGTGCCCGTCTGATTCACGCGAGAGGCGCGTGGGCGAGAGCAGGTGTGAGAGAAGCGGACGCTGGTGGAGCCTGCCCATGCTGCTCCGTGCACGCGCGTGTGCGCGCAGCCTGGCGCCCTGACCACCCTGGGAGAGTAAGTAGGTGCCCACTGCCACGGTTCCCGCCACACTGGCTAGTAAGTGCCCACCGCCACGGTTCCCGCCACACTGGCTTAAAGTTACCTTTGCTCTGTGGGGTCCGCTCTAGATTCTGGGACGTGCTAAGTCGGCGCCTTTTTTGGAAGCATTTGTGTCGTCCGGAGAGTCACGGTGCGATGTGACGTGGACATCGGGTACTCGTAGTCTCAGCGGTAGTGAGACTTGATCTGCTGCAAGTCCGTCAGGGCGGTCGTATCCTGTGGGCGTCTGCTTCTCTTTCAAAGGAGAGCCCTCGGCGGAGCTGCGTGCGCGGCGGCTGCCTCGGGTGTAGACGGAGCGTGAGGGGCGTCGCGCCGTCCTTCGCTGCGGCGCGGGGACACATCTGAGGTGCCCACTGCTGTCTGTGAGCACCCCCTGCTCTCTGAGGCGCCCCCTGCTGGCGTGAGGTGCCCACTGCTGTGTGTGAGCGCCCCCTGCTGTCTGAGGCGGTGCGGGGCATTCGCTGAGGATCGGCCGCGTCCTCCCGCCACTTCGCTGGGGCTTGGATTGTGCTGCAGAGTTCTCCGCGGTACTGTGCCGCCTTTTTCTTTTTTCTGGTCTTGGGAACAATGGAGGGTCCTTCTGATGGCGTGGGTGGGTGGGACGCAGGCCCGGAAGCTAAGGGTGGGTGCAGGGCCCCGCTTCTGGCCTCAGGGCCTGTGTGTGGAGAGCGCTGAGCGGGAAGCACAGGTGCATCTGGCCCAGCCGTCCCTGAGCGGGGAGAGCGCCCCTGGCCGCCGAGACTGGAGCCGGGCGTGGCGGCGGGGGCCGCCTGTGTGTGTGCAGCACGCTGCAGCCGCCCTGGGCAGAGCCTGGCGTTGCCTTCCCGGCACGGGTCGCCCTCCCTGCCCCTGCCCCTGCCCCGCCCCCGGCCTCTCTCAGGAGTCTGGGCGCCAGGTCCGCGCCCTTCCTGCCCCCTTGATAAGCAAAACCCGCTCTGGGCAGCTCTGCTGCGGAGCCTGCCCGGGCCTCGGTGCCGGCGGGCGCCTCGGGCGGTTCTCGGCGCGCAGTCCGGCTCGACGGGGCCGGGAAGGGTCGGTCTGTGCCCTGGAAGTGTGCCCGGCTCCGCAGTTGGGAAGCCACGGGTTCCGGAAGGCAGGCGTCACTCACACCGGGAGCCTCGCTGCACTCCGTCTCCTGAACAACTGAGCCGCGGCCGGCGGTCCGCACGTGCCCTGTCGGCTCCTCGGTCCGCACGTGCCCGCGCCGTCTGTCGGCCCCTCTACCGCCTTTCCCTCCGCACCTGCGCCCCGCACACTGTCCCCTCTGTCCCCTGTCCCCTGCCCCCGGCCTCCCTGGGGCAGCCTCGCCCCACCCTCGCAGGCTGTGTTCTCGGAATCGTGCAGCAGGTAGACGTCTCGTCTCACGGCTGGAGGACTCGGACGTTAGCTCGAGTTCAATCAAACTTGCCGCAGCTTTCCTGGCACTAAACGCAAAACCGTGTGAACCAGCAATACTCTGTTCTCTCTATGAAATGTTTGAGAATGCCTAGTGTTTTATTGGAATTTTATTCAAGAAATATTTATCGTTTCACAGATACATGTTTATGTTCCTTTGATTAGAACCCAAATCATTTTAACCATTGTATTAAATATTCAATTACATTTTATTTACTAAGAGAGTGGGTTTATTATTTATTTCTAAAATAAAGTAATTTTATATGGCTAATAAATTTTTCTAATGCTTCAAACTAAATATGACAAACTAGAATAGCTGTTTCCTAAAACACTTCATCTCAACTATTAATTCCACGCCGTTGAATTAAGGATAACCCTACTGAATTATAAGTAAACCTAATACTTGCACATACATAGAAAATAAACTTGAGAGTGATTATTTGATTTACATAATGAATTTTCCTTGTTCAAGAGAATGTGTTAGTGTGCAGGTGTAAGACATTTTAACTCCTAATTCATGCCCACCCCTCCACCCCCCGCCCAGCTCGGTGAGCGCAGGGCTCACGGAAGGGGAGAACCCGGGAGGGGAGGGAAGCCGTGCTCCTGTCGCACGCCTCGCCTTCCCCAACAGCCTGAGAGCGAAGGTGCGGCCCCGGGCACAGTGTGGACTTGGCCTGGGCAGGCTCCCCTTCAGGCCAGTGAGTCTGCTCCGGGGGAGACTTCCTTCTCCCGCTTCTGTCTAGAGTGCCAGCAGCAAGGCTGCTTTTTTAAAAAAAAAATCTATTTATTTGAAAGGCAGAGTTAGAGAGGTCTTGCGTCCTCGGGTTCACTCCCCGGTGGCTGCAATGGCCACAGCTGGGTTGGTCCAAAGCCAGGAGCTTCCTCTGGGCCACATGGGTGCAGGGACCCAAGCCCTCGGGCCATCTAGGAGCTTCCTCTGGGCCACATGGGTGCAGGGACCCAAGCCCTCGGGCCGTCCTCCGCTGCTTTCCCAAGCGCATTAGCAGGGAGCTGGGTCGGAGGAGGAGCAGCCGGGACTCCAGCCGGTGCCCAGATGGGCTGCTGGTGCTGCAGGCAGCTTTCCTCCCTACACCACAGCACCGGGCCCGGCGAGGCTGCTAAAGGGCACAGCAGAGGAGGAAGCAAAGGCCCTGAGTGGCGTGCAGACTTGGCGTTTGGCCTCAAAAACTGCCACATGCAGGATTTTGGCGACGCAACCACCTGTCTTCCCTGGGCCCCAGCTCACAGCAGTGGCAGACAAGCAAACGCAAACCCTCTTCTTGGCCTCGGCTATTGGGTTTCTTTAAGAAAATTATTTCCAGGGAAGGTGTTTTTCTAGAAATGCCTTCCCCTGGGCACTCAGCCTCGGGCATCCCCCAGCAGAGCCCACGTGGTTAGACGGCCGCTCTGGCCTCCACCGCGGGCCGGCAGCTTCCGCTGGGGGCTCTTGCCACGGAGCTGCTGTGGCCTGGGCACCGCGGGCAAGGGGCAGGAGCGGCCACAGCCCAGCCCCAGGGCCTGAGTGTCCTTAAATAGAGCGCCCTGCGGTTTGGTCGCGTTTTACCTATCACAAGAATGCACACAGCTATTTTTAGGCTAGCCCTCGGGAATGGGGAGCTGAGGTCCACAGGCATTTCAGAAGGTCCTAACTTGGCCCTTCCGTCTGTTTATAGATTTACGTTTTGCACATGTGCACTGGGACGTTTCGGTAAGGCCTGAGGAGTCCATGATTGAGGCCACAAGTCGGCTTCGTCTCCGCGGCTCACGGCCTCAGCGAAGGTTTTGGACGTCACGGCTGCAGCACCTCGTCCTCTCCAGCAGGACCTGTGTGGTCGCGTGAGCTCCACAGGCTCCCCAGGCTGCCGCTGACTGTGACGACCTCACCAGTCAGGACTCAGGAAGGGATGGAAGCCTGCGGGGTCCTGACACCCGACATCCGTGAGCCGTGGGAACCCCTGTGATTTTTTTTTTTTTTTATGTCAGTTGAAGATTTCAACGGCAAGCGGTGCAGGATGAGGAGTGGCTTACACCCAGTGGCCTGCGGTAATGAAATGCAGAAACAGGTGATTCTCAGTGCTGGACTGGCAGCCCACCGGCGCTTCAAGGAGTAGGGCTCTTTTCATCTTGCTGCTCTTAACCCTTCTCTGTGCGTCAGCTTTCAGCTTCTGGCAAGAGGTTATCTGATCACAAGAAGGCTGCCACTGCTCCAGGCATCAGGCTGTCACATCATTGCATCCAAAGTGAGGGGGTGGGGGGTGGGGGTGGGGGTGGGCAAAAAGGCCCTTTTCATGTGTGTCTCAGCTTTAAATCTGGGGGAAATTGTTTCTGCCATAAAAATCTCTATGTCTGGACCAGGACTGGGTCACACAGACAGCTTGAAAAAGGCCTGGTTAGGGCCAGCGCCATGGCTCACTAGACTAATCCTCCGCCTTGCAGCGCCGGCACACCGGGTTCTAGTCCCAGTTGGGGTGCCGGATTCTGTCCCAGTTGCCCCTCTTCCAGGCCAGCTCTCTGCTGTAGCCAGGGAGTGCAGTGGAGGATGGCCCAAGTGCTTGGGCCCTGCACCCCACGGGAGACCAGGAGAAGCACCTGGCTCCTGCCATCGGATCAGCACAGTGCGCTGGCCACAGCACACCGGCCGTGGCGGCCATTGGAGGGTGAACCAATGGCAAAGGAAGACCTTTCTCTCTGTCTCTCTTTCTCACTGTCCATTCCACCTGTCAAAAAAAAAAAAAAAAAAAAAAAAAAAAAAAAAGGCCTGGTTAGGTTTTTCAGCTCCTCTGACAAGCGAGAAGGAGGCCAGACGTGGTTATCGGGCCGGCACTCGGCATTTCTTCATGATACACGTTTCCATGAGCTTTCTGAAGAACCCTCTTAGGCATAGATTTCCATTCATTTACAGTAAAATAATCTTAAAAAAAAAAAAGAGATGTATTTATTTGAAAGGCAGAGTTAGAGAGGGAGACAGAGATCTTTCAACTGCTGGTTCACTCCCCAGATGGCTACAACAGCCAGGGCTGGGCCGGACCAGAGCCAAGAGCCTGGAACTCCACAACCTCTGTGGGTGCAGGGGCCTAAGCACCTGGGCCATCTTGCACTGCCTCCCCAGGCTCATTAGCAGGGAGCAGCTAAGACTCAAATCAGCACTCCCACATGGGATGCTGGCATCCCAGGCACAGGCACCAATGGCACCAAAATAATCTTTAAATTCCATTTTACATTAACTTTAAAAAAAAAAAAAAAGATGTATTCACTTATTTGAAAGGCAGAGTTACAGAAAGAGGGAGAAACAAAGATCTTCCACCTGCTGATTCACTCCCCAAATGGCCACAACAGCCAGGCTTGGCCAGAAGCCTGGAACTCCATCCTGGTCTCCCACATGGGTGGCAGGGACCCAAGTACTTGGGCCATTCTCTGCTGCCTTCCCAGGTGCATTAGCGGGTAGCTGGCTCAGAAGTAGAGCAGCCAGGACTTGAACCAGTGCTCGTACAGTGGCTTCCCTGCTGGACCCCAGTGCCGGCCCCAACACATGAACTTTTTGAAGCACTCTCCTTCTCATACATTTCTCAGAACTTCTCGGCGTGGGGCCTGCGCTGTGGTTAAACTTGCACCTGCAGTGCCAACATCCCATATGGACACTGGTTCAAGCTCTGGCTGCTCCACTTGGATCCAGCTCCAAGTGCCTGGAAAAGCAGCAGAAGATGGCTCAAGTCCCTGGGTCCCTGCACCCATGTGGAAGACCTGAAAGAAGCCCCTGGCTCCTGGCTTCATTCTGGCCCAGCCCTGACCCTTGTGGCCATTTGAGGGGTAGACCAGCAGATGGAAGGTCTCTCTCTGTCTCACCTTCTCTCTCTGTAAATAAATTAATTAATTTTTAAAAAGCTCATTATATAGTTACATATCCTAGGATTCGCCATATGGTTTTAATCAGAGTGGCGCATTGCACATTCAGCTCCCTTCCCCTTCAAGGAGCAGGAGGGGAGTTGCAACCCCTCAGTTCCTTTGCCTCAGGAGCGTCAGACTGCGTGGCAAGTGCACCTGCTCCTATCTTCTTCCCCTTTCTCTCCGCAGCTTCCTGGTGGCATCGTTCTGTCTCCCACAAGAGTAACTCATGTCATACCCATGATCTGGATTGGCATGGCAACGCGAAATGTGGCCACAGGCCCATGTCCGTCGGGTCTGATCTGAGTTGGTAAGGGATGGTGGGCCTCTGTCAGTGGCTTCTTCAGGGCGGGTGGGACCTAGAAGTCGCTCCCTTCTCCACCAGATGGTGAGCTCCCGGAGGGGTGCTCCCACCTGGGAACACACACACCTGCAGGCCATAGGGCTGTGATGTGGGTGCGTGAGGAAGTCGCACTGCCAGGTGCTTATGGGAACAGAAACAGCCGAGTTAAGCCTGGGCAGGTCTCCGTTTTCCCCAGGAACATGAGCATGATCGCCCCGGCGTGGCCGTGGACACCACTGGCCCTGGGAGACAAGCCATCACCAAGTCCCCGGAGTTTCAGAGAAGGCTGATGATGGAGAAACATCTATCTGCTAGCTTTCTGCTGTGAATAAAACCAGGGCGATGTCTTAGCAGCACAATCTCCCGTCTCTACAGGCAGATAATCTGACAGCCGCTACCATGATGAGTCAGGAGCCCGGGGTGGAGCTCTCGGCCTTGCCCTCTTGGGAAAACTGTTGACCCTTGCCAAGCCTGTGTCTTAGTCAGCCCAGGCTGCTGTTACAGAACACCACGGGCTAGGGGCTCGTTTAGTACTGTTCTGGAAGCTGGGGAGTCTGAACTAAAGGTGCAGGGGCCGGTGCGTGGCACCGCAGGCTCAGCTGCTGCCTGTGAGGCTAGCGTCCCTTGTGAGTGAGCGCTGCTTCAAGTCCCGGCTGTTCTACCTCTGATCCAGGGTGCTAATGATCTTGGGAAAGCAGCCAAAGGTGGCCCAAGTGCTTGGACCCCTGCCACCTACGTGGGAGGCCTGGATGGAATATTCTAGACTCCTGGCTTTGGCCTGGACCTGCCCCATCCATTGGCGGTATTTGGGGAATGAACCAGCAGATGGAAATGGAAGATATTACCCCTCCCCCCTTTCTCTCTCTTTCTCTCCCCCTCCCTCCCTCTGCCTTTTAAATAAGGGAACCTTTGTTTAAAAAAATGATAAACCCCACCATGCATAGAAAGCATTGCGGAGTCTGTGCAATCCCTGGAGTCGTTTACTGGTAATTACTAGTGTTACTGCTTGCACAGCCACTCAGACAAGCAAATTTCCCTTCCTTGGCTCCCTAGCAACCCTCCCAGAATTCCAAGGCAAATGCATCCATTGAGGAATGCAGCACCCTAGCCAGGGCACATTCTCCTTCGAACAGCTTGGGTAGGCAGTGGTAGGCACTGGGGAAGCAGAGATGACACACACACAGGAGGTACGCAGCAGCTCCGCGCTCAGCGCGCTGTCCCTTCGTACACATCCCAGGCTGCCCATCTGTGCGCATGGCTGGGGCGGGAACGGACTGATGTCGACACGGAGCCTACTGTTTAGGATACGGATTCATCCAAAATTCCGGCCTGAAACAATTCCTGCCATTGGATGGCTTACCCTTTCCTAGCATGATCATGAACTAGGATAATCCTTCATCTTCCAAATCAACCGCCTGCAGCGTACATGACCGAATACACTTCAGCAGCTTTTCAAAAGTCACTCAGAAAGCTGGGCTCCCCACACGCCGAACTGACCTCCTCCCTTGCAAAGCCCCTCCCCCCTGCTGCCTGCGGACCCGGGTGCCCATGGAGACCATGCATGCGTCTCCCCCTCTGCAGGGTTTCACAAAGGCAGGAGAAGGGGTATGCGCACCGTGGGCACAGCATCTGTCCACCCCAGCCTCGTGGGCGTTAAAACATTCAGTATGTATTTACTGTTCTGGGTTTGCCTGTTTTGGTGGCAAACACAGACAGCACACAGAGTCAGCAGGAAGTAGAGTAGCAGTTGCCTGGGGCTCAGGGTCTTGGGGGGAAGCTTTGTGGCTGCTCAGACTGCCAGCTCTGTTTCTGAGCTGCTGACACTGTTCTAAAATCGGTGGTGAGATTTTGTGAGGTTGCACACACCCCTGCACGTAGGATGCGGCTGCCTCCTGGTGAGCCCCGGGCGGAAAACGCACCACATGCACCTGACCTCCCGCACATCACACAGCTCTGCCACGCAGCGCCCTGCACAACACCAGCCCTGCAAAGATCCAAGTGCACTACCCCTTGGCTGCTGCAAAACCATTAGGCAGGACCTTCATGAGTCAGGGGCCACCTGTAGTTATGCAGCTCAGCGAATGCATTGGATATCATTAAGTTGCACACTTTAAATTGTTAAAGCACCCGACAGGCAGAGAGATAGCAAGGGGACGGAGGTAGGGGTTGGACCAGGACTTGGGAACTCAACCTGGGTCTTCCACATGGGTGGCAGGAACCCAGTTGCTTGAGCCATCGCCACTGCCTCTCAGGGTCTGCGTTAGCTGGAAGTCAGAGTCAGAAGTGGGAGCTAGGAAGTGAACCCAGGTTCCCCAAGGTGGGATGCAGGCATCGCAGCCTCAGCCTAACACCTGTCATGAATTGCACGATTTAAATGGCTGAATTGTGTATTGAATTACATCTCAATCACGATAAAAAAAAATAATCATACAGGGGCCAGCACTGTGGCGCAGGAGTTTAAGTTACCAGTTAGGGCACCAGCATCCCCTGTCAGATTGCTGGTTGGAGTCCGAGCTGCTCCTTTTCCCATCCAACTCCCTGCTAATGCACCTGGGAAGGCAGCTGAAGATGGTGCAGGTACTTGGACCCCTGCCACCCATGTGGGAGACCAGGTGCAGTTCCAGGCTCCTGGCTTCAGCCTGGCCCAGACCCAGTCCTGTGGCCATTTAGGGAGTGAAGCAGCAGATGGAATCTCTACCCCCTTTCAAATAAATAAGTAAATCTGTTAGAAAAAACCACAGAAATCGTGGGTTCTCCACTTTGGTGCACAAGGAGGAGCCCCAGGGCCAGCCTGCAGAGGTCACACCTGGGGTCTCCAGTGCCCACTTGGCCCTCAGTGCCTGCTTTGCCCCACGTCTCCTGCCAGCCCTCCATGAAAAAACCACCCTTCCCTGGTTGCAGGTCAAGTTCAGAATCATCCCTGTCTCACGATGCTTTTGCCTGCTCTACAAGAGAGAAGCTCATGTCAGCCCCTACTGCCCTGGGGGCTCCCCTGCAGGGGGGCAGGTTTGCAGCAGTGGGGGGGCCAGGCCGGGGCTTGTCAGGACCCCCCACAGGGAGACCCGGTGATTAGTGTGCCGGGGATCTGGCCACCCCTGCCGGGTCCAAGCCCCAGGCCAGCCCTGGACCTCCTGCCAGGAGGACGCCTCTTGTCCTGACCCCTTCGTTTCCCCGGGCAGTGCGTCCGGGAGACCTTGGGGAGGGGCTGTGGGAAGCCAAGGCCTGGCTCTGAGGCTCGTCCATCCTGGAACTCGGGGCCAACGAGGCGCCCAGCACCCAGCCTTCATGGGATGAGCAAGTTGCTATGAATGGGAGGTGGCACGCCTTTGATCTGGAGCTAAGACCGGCATGGCTTGGTGGTCAAGTGCCTGGGCTCTGCTTAGACTCCAGCTCCCTGCTAATGTGCACCTTGGGAGACAACAGGTTCAAATACCTGGGTCCCTGCCACCCACCTGGGAGACCCAGATTGAGTTCCCAGCTTTGGCCACTGGGGAGCACTTGGGGAGTGAACTAGCAGACAGGAGCTCACTCTCTCTCGCTCTAATGAATAAATAATTTAGCTAAAGCAAAAGCAACACCAGTGAGCAAATCGGTGAACCTTTTTTGTCCAGCTCATTCTCAGAGACCCCCAAACATTGCCCTGGGCTGCCAAAACTCACTTCCTCCAGGAAGCCATCGGGATGCCCCCTACCCACTCCCCCTCACTAACCCGCTGTGTCATGGGGAGGGGCAAGGCCCCCAGCGCCCGGCTGCCCTCATTTGAGTCCTGTGGGACCAGGGACAGGCGACGGAGCCCCTCAGAGCCTCTGTTTCCAGCTCGATGCGAGGAGGCAGTCAGTTGTCAGGCGCGAGCATCCAGGACTTACACACGGCTCCGTGTCGCCTCTTAGCCGTGGTGTGGTGTCGCCTGTCGCTCCCAGCATCAAGGAAGGACAGTTCTCTAGCTGGGGGCCTGCCCCTGCGGGAGCAGATACCCTGTTCACGCCGGTCTCTGATACACGCTCACAATCTGCTTCCCATGGCGGTTTCTTTCTGTGGACAGTGAGAGAGACAGAGAGAAAGGTCTTCCTTTGCCGTTGGTTCACCCTCCAATGACCGCCGTGGCTGGCGCGCTGCTGCTGACGCACCGCACTGATCCAAAGCCAGGAGCCAGGTGCTTCTCCTGGTCTCCCATGCGAGTGCAGGGCCCAAGTACTTGGGCCATCCTCCACTGCACTCCCTGGCCACAGCAGAGAGCTGGCCTGGAAGAGGGGCAACTAGGACAGAATCCGGCATCCCGACTGAGAATAGAACCCGGTGTGCCGGCGCCGCAAGGCGGAGGATTAGCCTAGTGAGCCACGGCGCCGGCCACAGTTTCTTTCATATTAGGAGAAAACCCTCACAATTCTTACCAAGGATGGCCTGCCCTTAATTATTCGAAGTTGTGGTTATTCATTTCTTCATATGTTTGAAAGGTAGAAAGACAGATCTTCCATCCGCTGGTTCACTCCACGAATACCCACAACGGCCACAACGGCTGGGTCAGGCTGAAGCCAGGGGCCCAGAACTCCATCTGGGTCTCCCACACAGGTGGCCAGGGCCCAAACACCTGGGCCAACATCAGCTGCCTTCCCAGGATGCATTAGCAGGCAGCTGAATGGAAAGCAGAGGAGCCGGGATTTGAACCGGCGCTCCCACGTGAGAAGAAGGCATCGCCAGAGGCCGACTAACTGGGGACGCCACAATGCACCGTGCCCACCCTCCCCCGCCACCTGCCCTTGTTTTCAACCCTGAGTGCCTGTGGGAGGAAGGATCACCACTTTCCCGCTTGCCTTGTTTCTCAGAAGCCTTGTTGGATCTCTTGCAGCAGAAGCAGCCCTGGGACCTGCCTGACGTGGGTGGCTGTGGTTTATGGAACCACTTGGACCGCTCGGGCTGCTCCTCACAGGAACGTCGGCTCTCCACTCTTCCAGCGTGGGTCTTGCAAAACAGCATATTGTGGCCATCTGTTCTGGGGGCATGGAGAAGAGAACGGACGTCATTTGATGTAAGGGTATGAGGAAAGAGCAGAGCGTAGGGCCAGCCCTGAATAGAAGTGGGCAGGAGTCATCTCTGGTGTGTCTGCCCTCCCTCGTCTTGCTTCGGTGGTATCCCTCCTTTGCCAGCCACCTGCTGCCTTCAGAGGTTCTCTGTGCCCCAGCCCACCCACAGAAGACATAAAACCCTCTCCCCTCACAGCCAGCAAGCCTCGCCATGGTGAGTTTTGATGGCAGAGACCTGAGTTCAAACATGAGCTCCCCTACGCGCTCACTGTCTGGACGTGTGCACGTTACCTAACCTGCCCCACATGAAATACAGGGCACCGTGTTCCTTGTGGCCGCTGGTGTGCTTTCAGCAGCAAGTAAGTGAAAAGCCAAGTAAATGCGTTCAACCAACAAGGAAAAAATAATCAGTTCTATCATTTAGTTGAAAGAGAAACAGAGAGATCTTCCTCCCAGATGGCTCCCACAGCTAGGGCTGGGCCAGGCTGAAGCCAGAAGCCTGGAACTCCATCCGGTCCCCCACGTGCATGGCAAGGACCAGGTACTTGAGGCTTTATCTGCTGCCTCCCAGGGTTTGCATTAGCAGGGGGCTGGAATCAGAAGTGGAGGAGCCGGGACTCAGGCCAGGCAGCAACAGAACCACTGTGCCAACTGCCCACCCCACAGGGAGGAGAGATTTCACCCCCATTGTCAGAAATGCAGAGGTGGGGCCGGCACCGTAGCTCACTAGGCTAATCCTCCACCTGCGGCGCCGGCACACCGGGTTCTAGTCCCAGTCGGGGCGCCGGATTCTGTCCCGGTTACCCCTCTTCCAGGCCAGCTCTCTGCTGTGGCCAGGGAGGGCAGTGGAGGATGGCCCAAGTGCTTGGGCCCTGCACCCCATGGGAGACCAGGAGAAGCACCTGGCTCCTGCCATCGGATCAGCGTGGTGCACCAGCCGCAGCGCGCCAGCCGCGGCGGCCATTGGAGGGTGAACCGATGGCAAAAGGAAGACCTTTCTCTCTGTCTCTCTCACACTGTCCACTCTGCCTGTCAAAAAAAAAAAAAATGTAGAGGTGGGCAGACTGAGTGAATCTCCGCTTTCTGCTCTGTGTCAGCCGCATCTTTTTTTTTTTTTTTAAGATTTTATTTATTTGAGAGGCAGAGTTACAGAGAGAGGGAGAGACAGAGAGAACGATCTTGCTTCTGCTGGTTCACTCCCCAAAAGACTGCAATGGCCAGAGCTGTGGCAATCCGAAGCCCGGAGCCAGGAGCTTCTTCCTGGTCTCCCATGAGGGTGCAGAGGCCCAGGCACTTGGGCCATCTTCTACTGCTTCCCCAGGACATAGTAGAGAGCTGGATCGGAAATGGAGCAGCCAGGACACGAACAGGTGCCCATATTGGATGCTGCGATTGCAGGTGGAGGCTGAGCCCACTGTGCCGCAGCGCTGGCTGGGTCAGCCATATCTTGAAGCTGACTCCATTCACAGGCAGAATGGCCATCACCGGGACAGATGGCACCAATGCAGTGCTGCGTGCTGATTAGCTTGGGCCTGGGTCCCTAAGTCAGACACTAACAGGGCCGGGATCCCCACGATTGGAACAGAGACCCGTGGTTCTCTACCCTGAGCATGCACAGAATCACCTGAGCACTTATTAACCTGCAGGTGCACGCCTCAGCCCCAGAGTTTTACATTCAGTCAGTCCAGAGAAGAGCCTGCTGTGATAGACTAAGGAGAGGGGCCCCCTAGAGTTTGGTCAGCTCCCCAAACTACACAGTGGGTGTCGGAGAGAGAATTATGAGACACAAAACCTTGCTGAGGGGGCTGCGCTGTTGCGTAGTGAGCTAAGCCTCAGCCTGCAGTGCCGACATCCTATATGGGTGCTGGTTCGAGTCCCACCTGCTCCTCTTCGGAACCAGCTCTCTGCTATGGCCTGGGAAAGCAGTGGAAGATGGCCCAAGTCCTTGGGCCCCTGCACCCATGTGGGAGATTCAGAGGAAGGTCCTGGCTCCTGCTTCAGATCTGCCCAGTTCCAGCCATTGTGGCCATTTGGGGAGTGAACCAGCAGATGGAAGACCTTTCTCTGTGGCTCCGTCTCTCCAATAAATAAATTAATCTTTAAATGTGGACATTGCTTCAGTAACCTATGGCTGTGTACACAATACTCCAAAGCTCGGTGGCTTCCCACAGCTGTCTGTGCATGCTTCTCATGGTCCCGAGGTCTGACTGGGCCTACCTGAGCAGGTTCCCTGTGGTGGAATGAGGTGAAAAGGTCATATCAAGATGGCCGCTGAGAACAGAAACTGCCTGGCAACTGGCCATGATTGGATGGTTTCAGAAACTGCCTGGCAACAAGAGCCTGACTGGCAACAGGCTGTGATTGGATGGCTTTGGAAACTGCCTGGCAACAGGCTGTGATTGGTTGGGGCATAGACCGCCCCTTGACCGGATTGGCTGGCATTGGCTATATAAGCAGCTGTAGCACCTGAAATAAACGAGTCTGCGGGTTGCTTGCCTCTGGCCCGCTTTGACCCGACTCCTGGGGTCTGTGTGGTGACTCCGCGCCTCTTGTCCCCACCACGCTTCTCATCTCAGAACGAATCCTCTCAGAACAAATCAACTGTAACAGTTCCCCTTGGGGTCTCCCAGGCAGCAATGGTCAGAACCTCCAAAGGCTGCGTCCGAGCTGTGGAGCCAGACGGCACCAGGCACGTCTTTGTCCACTGAGCTCCTCCACGTGGTAGCTCGGGCTTCCTCACAGTATGACAGTCTCGGGAGGGCAGCTGACTTTCTCCAGAGCCAGCATCCCAAGAGGTCAGGCAGAAACATGGCCTTCCAAACTCACACTGCATCAGCGCCCGGTCCTGTCGGCGACAGGGAGTCCGAGAACCAGCTCGGATTCCAGAGAGAAGCGCCTCTGTGCAAAGGCTAGGGTGACGGGTGGCCAGCTGCCACAGGCGTTAGAGATCATCTGTGTGACAGCTCAAGGAGGCACGGAAGTCAAGTATTCACCTGATAAGTACGCAGGAAATGGGTATTCCTGAAACTGAGGAGAATTTGCTTATTATACTTTTTGTAAGCTTTATTTATTTGAAAGGCAGAGGGACAGAGAGAGACAGAAACATGAAGAAAGAGGGAGATTCCATCTGCTGGTTCACTCCCCAAATGGCCACAACAGCCAGGTCTGGATAAGGCAAAGCCGTGAGCCAGGACACCCCATCCTGGTCTCCCGTATGCATGGCAGAAACTCAACTATTTGAGCCATCATCGGATTCTCCTGAAGGCACACTGGATGCTGAGTTGGAAGTGGAGTAGCCAGCACTCAAACTGGCACTGATAAAGACGCAGGCATCTTGCTTCAGGAATTCTGAAGACCCCTCGTGTGCCTGGATTTCAAACTTTGTTGCATCAAAATAAATTTGTCTTTGGGCGAGGGAGGGTGTAATGTATGCAATATTCTTTTTTAAAAAAAAGTTTTTTAAGATTTACTTATTTGAAAGAGAGAGAGAGAGGAGAGGAGAGAGACAGAGAGACAGAGATCTTCTATCCACTGGTTCACCCCTCAAAGGGTCCACAGCAACCAGGACTAGGTCAGGCCAAAGCCAGAAGCCAGGAACTTCTTCCAGGTCTCCCACATGGGTGCAGAGGCCCAACTACTTTGGTTATCTTCCACTGCTTTCCCAGGTGCATTAGCAGGGAGCTGGATTGGAAGTGGAGCAGCTGGGACTCGAACCAGAACCCACATGGGATGCCAGCGCTGCAGGCCACGGCTTTACCCATTACACACAGCACTGGTCCCCCAAAATATTTTTAAATGATAGTTTTATTTATTTGGAAGCACAGGGAGTGAGAAAGAGAAAAAAGGGAAGGTAGGAAGGTAGGAAGGGAAGGAGGGAGGAAGGGAGGAGGGAGGGAGGGAACTTGAACCCAGCACTATGAGATGGATGTGGGTGTCCCAGCCGGTGTCTTCTTAACTACCAGGCTAAACGCCCACCATAAGTTATCTTTTAATCCCATTTTCTAAGAACTTTTTGACATATCCTCATACACCTTCGAAATTTGAACTCTCCTATGCACCACTTAATTTCAGAATGGCCTTGTATGGTTTTGTTTTATGGTGTGATGGTTTTTCTTCATTTATGTCTTCCAAATATATGTACATACATACATCTACTTCCGTATCTGTCTCTATCCACATGCTTGTATGCTCACTGGTGTGTGTGCACATGTGTGAGTGTGTCCATATATGTGTACTTACTGGCGTGTGTATGCACGTGTGTGAATGCATGACTTCCTTTAAAGCATGTCAGTGACTTGGATTTTTATCCAGCCCCATGGCAGAGAAGATCTTGTGGGGCTTCCGCTTCTGTGTGTGTTAGGGTGGGGGAGGAGCAGGTGCAGGCTATGAGAAAATATGCCAGTTCAGAGGGAGGGAACAAAGCGAGCTGCGTGGCTGGAGTACTTCGTCCACAGACATCTGTGTGTCCTGCCAAGCCTGGATGTGTTTAGACTTGAGCGTCAAGGGGAGGGTTGCACAAAGGCGCGTTGCTGGGGTTGGTTCTGTAGTCCGAGCAGACTGGGGTGCTCACACTGAGCTATTTCTGTATAAAAATTTCTCTGGAAGCCTGTGAGAAGCCACTAACCACTGCGGTTTACTGTAATGTCCTCCCGTTCACTGTCTGTTGCATCATTTCCCCTCCGTTCTGTGACTGTGTGTGTGCTTGTGTGTGTCCCTGTGTGTGTTCCGGAGTTATGTTGCCATGGAGAGTTATTTGGAATAGGCGTCTTACGAGCCACTTGAGCTGAACATATGAAAATGTACTTCAGAAATCAAAGCTCCTTTTGTATGCATAGACCCTGTCTGGAAGGCTACATAATACATTGATAGCAGTAGGTGCCCCTGGAGAGGGGAGGGACGGGAGGACTCAGGGATCCGTGGCATCAGGGAGACGGACTCCTCCCTGTGTACTGTTCAAAATTTTTACTTACTCTAAGCATGTGATGCTTTTAAAAAAAAATGAAAATCGAAGTTTAAATGCCAAGGCTTCCCTTGGGAAATACGCTCTGATTCCAGTACCCGCCTTGGCTCCTGCGCGCCACTTCCCAGGAAGACATGGGAACTCTGTAGCCGTCATGAGCTGAATACCAAGAAGGCATCCGCCTGGCGTCTACTCCCTCACCCCACCCTGCCCCATAGCCACAAGGACGTGGTCTTCACCCCTAGCGGCTGGGCTGGGCAGAGCGTGTTGAGAAGAGGTGCCGCATCTGTCAGATTCAATTCCGTCCCTGATGCGGTGTGGATTAGAGTAATCTGTCATGACTTTGCACACGTTCTTTCTGGCAGCATTGCCGAGAAAGTGCAGCTGGTTGTGGCGAGCCAAGGAGTCACATCACCTCTTCAGATGCCTGGGGTCGCCTGGCGAGCCCACGTGGAACAGCTCTGAGACGCTGGGCGAGGAGGCATCCTGCCTGGTGACAGAGAACCGTAAACACTTCCGTAGCGTGTCTACACACGTTCCAAGTCTCTACGAGACGATGGCTCAGACTCCAGAAACTGTGGTGACCTTATTCTGTGTGTGTAGATTTTCTCTGCTGAGCTGACAGACCACTTCCAAACCAGGAGTCCGGGGTGTGAACAGACACCTCCCCGTGACAGTTCCTTTCCCGTCTTTGCAATGCTGGGAGCCACTGAAACAGCCAACACAGCACCTCTCATTAGCATTACGTGGTCCACGTGGGCTCCCTTGATTGAACTGGTCGGAGTTCCAGTTATTGCAAATCACTGGTCAATCCAAGAGGGAGGAGAACGCAATAAAAAGGAAAAACGCAGCCCATCACAAAAATAACTTGAGATGCGTGCAGCCTGCCGGCGTGCGGTCGTTGGTGTTGAACTTGCTCTCAGCCCTGTCTCCAGTAGACCACACCCTGCCCCTACAGAAACTGCTCCCTGCCTTGGGAATAGCAAAGTCATGAGAACTAGAAAAGCTGCTGAGAATCTGGCAAGGTTTAATGTGAGTGCTTCCATTAGCTCTGGGCAGGGCGAGGGGAGAGGAAATCACCCACGGACTGTACCCTCCCGAGGTGGAGCCACGCCTCCCGGTCGGGGAGCCCACGCCCAGACCTGGCTCATGA